TNCTTTAATAAATTCATTTATTAAACTCGATGTAAATTCAATCAATTCATAGCTACAATGTACACGAAAATTGCTGTCATCACCGAATCATTTTGGCAAGTTCTTATACTTAAAATCTCCGTATCAGAGTAGAGTGATCAAAGTAGAGTGAAGCCACCGCGCATTAAAGGTCAATTAACGCTTGGACGAACACTTAATTGCGACCACGCTCACCTTCGATTTTTATCTCAGCGAGCTAGGGTTAGGCTCTTTTGTTAGCAGAAAGTTTGTCACGATAATTGCACGACGGGCAGGGTATGGAACTATTGTTAACAGAAACCAAACAGCGTATGGATGACAATGTTATTTCCATAGTTACCGAGCCAGGCCGTCCGTACAACCCGCAGCGACCCGGAGGGTAAGTAAGGGGACATTCCGGCGGCACTGTACCTCGCGGGCTGAAATTGGCTCGTCTGTTATCGGTATGTATGGATGCGATGCTTCGGTTTCGATGAACAATGGTTCGCGGTTATCCGTACTCAAGAGTCCTTCGAAGTGTGTTTTAAACTGCTCATCTGTGGGCGTGTCGTTGTTCGTTTTTGTATTGTCAGTAGCGCCTTTCCAACTAATTGCTTGCCATACTGACCGACTGTCTTTACTATTCATTAACTTGGACCATCTACTCTGTGGGTTTTTGCATTGGTCGTTTTGACGCTCCGTTTCCTCTACATGGTTAGTTTTAGATATCCTGCATGCCGTTCGCATAATATTGTTGACTCCCTCTGATATCTCATTAATTCCAGCACTGTCCATCGTCGGTGGCGGTACAGATAGCAGAAAATTTGTGAACTTTTGTTTGTTCATATCATTCCACTTAAAACTTTGCTCATTATACCGACGTATACTCTGCTGTAAAAACTGATCATATCCGCCTAAATTTTTAACCCGCTGTAATAGACATTCTAAGCGGGTGCTGGGCGAGTTCCATTTATTAGAATCAAAAGTTACTATAATTGGCGCGTGGTTGGAAGGCAGATTCGTGTCTTTAAGCACAGTAAAGTTCACCGTTGAAGGGATAATTGCGGACGACACAAAACAGTGGTCCAACTCCGATATCCAGTTTTCACTCATTCTAAACGTGAGGTCGTTTGAAAACGTGCAAGTTTTCGTTGTTAAACCATTAATAAGGACAAGAGGATTGAGCATACCTGTCAGTAAATGTGCGTTATCGTTAGGGTATGCTATCTTGTCTTTGGCTTCTGAGTAATACCAGTCATCCTCAGTATTGCTCAAAAATAAATTACTTAGATATGCAAAGCGACAATTTAAATCCCCCAATAACACCACATGTCGGTTTTTCTCTAATGCTGTTTGAATTTCTGAATTAAGATTTCCAATAGAGCTCATTGAGAAATATGGGGATGATTTCGGTGGGATGTATCTAGAAATGAACGTAACATTAGGAAATAACGATATCGAAAAACTAATTTGGTCCGGTTTTGAAACATCCATCGAAGATATCGCTGCATTCAAAGTATGTCGAAGCAGAACGGCACACCCACCACGGTGGGTATTTTGTTTCCCGCCAGTGCTAATGTAAGTAACATATCCGGGTAAGGAAAAATGTAAATCCGTTTTGATTTCATTCAAAAATATCATGTCTATATCCTGAGCTAAGTTTTGCACATAGTTTTGATCCAATTTATTTTTCACACCATTAATATTCCATGATAAAATTGAAATTGATTGTTTCTGCTCGCTTATCGAAAATCCTGAATCGCAAACCGGTCAATTACGCAGCCATCCCTCAGCAGTGTGCGGGACTTTTTATCCAAATAAATATTGTGTCCAACGTTCTCTGGTTTTTTCTTCTCATCCGCCTCTGCTGCAAATAACCTTTTCCACTCGTTCCGAATCGAAGGGTGTTGATCTCTTTTCAAGCGAATATTTGAGAATTTTGAATTGTGTTGCAATGTGGATGCGTTCATCAGTATTTCCTTCCTCTTTGATGCAGATTCTACCGACACCAGGCATGGTCGCGCCGTTCCGTCACTGCGTTCTTTACCCAGACGCTTAGAAGAGCCGATTTCAACATTTCCAACTTTAATTTCTTTGAATACTGACGCTAGTTTGACTTCATCGCTCGATGCAGCATCCTCTGGCAGGTTTAATACAATTAAATTCCGCTCTCTTTCTTTATAATCTAAATGTTCAAGATATCGTTGCTGTCCAGAGAGTATGTTTATCAGTTTCTCATTATCTGTGACCAAATGATCGATGGTATTGTTTAATGACTGTTTATCTTTTTCTAATTCACAGACACGGTTTGACAACTGCTGTACAATGTCACGTGTCTCCATGGTAGCCTGTTTTATATAATCAATTTGCGATGATAGGTATTGGGCCCAAGGTGGAGCAGTGGTCATTACTTCGCGTGGGTGACCCTGCGCCATGACGGAATCAACAAAATTTTGGGCTGTACTAGAATTCAATGGGTTGTTTGCTACATATAAGTTTTGTTCATCCATATTTTCTGGAGTATATCATCCACAGTTAGTTCATAAACTCACCGGCACGTTTTTGCACTGCTGTGATAAGTAGAACTCTCACATTTCATCATAACTTTGGGAGACGAAATTTCCCTGTGACCTGCCTTCCGCCCGCCTACATACATCCTAAATTTGTAAGAGACAGTTGAGTGACAGTTTGGGACATTTTTTGGTAATTTTTACGTGATGTTTGCATATAATTTATGTTTTTCTGGTTAGTTAAGCACGTGCACCATTACATTACATTATTGTGGTATTACATGTATCAATCNCCCCTGGGATGGACTGACAAGCCTGACACTGGTGGGGGAGGAAGAATCAGCATGGCCCGCCAAGCCTGCAGGGATGCTCCCCCAGATGATGAGGAGGCCTTTATTCTCTCTGGAGATGCAGGCATCCCAGCCAGTGATGGTGTGGAGGATGACACCATGGTCTCCATAGGCCAGGACCAGTATCTGGTGGAGGCTGAGGTCCATCATGGAGCTTCTCTCAGTGAGGTACTGGACACTGCAGATATCCCTGTGGAACTGACTTTCACAGCTTGTGTTGGGGAACAGAAGCTGGAGGAATTCAAACCCTCAGGTATTTACATATGATCAATTGAACTGTTACTGATCAATAATTTTCTTATTGGTTGAATTTTTATAAGTTGTCAGCATAATTGTCATGAAATGACCATATTTCCAAGTTTTAGAATAGGTCTCAAAGTCTGTCATGATTTTCCGAATCATTTCTGGTATAAGAACTAACTGATATTGAAAGAAACACCAGCATCATCTTTCAAAAAATAAATCAACATCCTGTATTTCAGCCATTCCCAAAGTGGCCAGGGGCTCTGTGAGTGCCAAGGACTCTCAGCTCAACCTGAGTAACACCCCCTTGGAGACAAGCCCCAGCCCTTGCTGTCAGCCTGGCAGCCCAGTGATATGCCCTTTGAGGAGATGGATGAAATGCCAACCAAGGCACTGTCTTCCCATGCCATCATCAGGTATGGTAATTACTCTCAAACTCTCCACACTTCATTTAATCAACATCATACTAATTGAATTGTATTGTAATTCTAGTTATAGTATATAAAAATAGAGTAATTCTTTGCCATAATTTATTATTTTTCACATCTTCCAGCCCCATTCCCCCATCTGCTGGGCCAGGGAAGAGACAGAGGCGCCACACCATGGTGTTCAACAGGGAGGAGATGCCATTCAACAGGCAGGTGTCACAGGCCTCCAAGACTGAACTCATGAGGCAGAACCTTGCCAAGAAACGCCTCGGCCACATGGATGTAGAGACCTCCACTGCAAGAGTTTGCCAAGATATCAGACTGCAGAGGTATGTATTACCTATATCTAGTGATATCTGATGCTGTATTGAGTGATGATTTCAAGATAAGTTAATTTCACATGGTGTTTACAATTGTTACACATATAGCAGTTTGTATATAAACATAATATTCAAATAGGAATTTTCAATAAGGCATGAAAATTATGTAAAAGATTTTGCTGATGGCACTTGCATACAATTTCAAATTTAATTAATTAAGGTTGGATCTCAGTTTAGTTACATGTATGTCATCTCCAAAATATGTCTATAATTTATAATTTTGTATGTTATCTGTTATCATCCCAGGTCACAGTCTGATACCAGCATCTTGCAGACCAATGACAACATGAACAATTACAATGACACCAGTGGTGGTCCTGAGACTGGCAACACCAACATGACAGCAAGGTAATTAATACAGGGGACGGGAAAGGCGACTTATATTTTTATTTTATTATTCTATTTCTTATTTTATTCAGTCATCTTTTGTAATTAATTCATATTTTATTATTATTTTGTTTTATTTGGTTTTTCACATACTGTTCATTTATTTATTTTTGTGAAATCTTTCTTCCAATTACAGAGATGACGCCAGTGCTATTTCTGCCCATGACAACGTTGTACAACAAGGCAGCATGGTAGATGGCGCCATCAACCAGGACAGCATGGCAACTGTGTTTGAGTCTGCCTATGCTGTGCTTCACCTGGAAGATGGTAGGTTGTGTACTTCCTTTTTGCTGTATGTTAAAAAATCTACTTTTGATATAGTTCCACATCAGTATCAGTATTGTTGGTCTCTGCATTTTTATTGATATTTGTCTGACTTTGATATACATAATACATGTATTCCCTAGTTACATTTAGTGTTATTTGATTAACCTTTCTTTTATTTGCAAATTTCATGTAAATAAAAAAAATTAATATTTTAAAAAAATAACCTCTAAAATTATCTCTCTATGGAAACAACAATTGTAAAAATTCTTACTTAGTTTAATGCCATTTCTTTGATTATCACTTCCTTGATTTTCATTTTTTTGTTAATTTTTAAATACTCCAGATGATGGAAGCCCTGGTGATGACCTCAAAAAACCATCTCTAACATCAACACAGCAGCTAACTGATGCCCAGCTACTTCAGCTAGAGATGGAGGCAACAGGGGAGATGAAGAAGAAACTCCCACACTATGTGCTTTACATCATTATTGTTCTTCTCCTGTGCTCTGTCTTCATCTCTCTGTTCTTCACTGAGATCTACATGATTGAGCTGACCACAGAGAGCTCATACTGCTGGGCCTGTCTTGTCGTGTTTGCTCTGCTGGAGGAGGTGTTCATCTTTGAACCCCTGAAAGTGGCCTCTGTTGTCATCTACAGAGCTGTGTTCCCAGCAGCAAATAATAGATAACTTGTGATACTCACTTTGCTGAATGTCTGAGGATGATGCTGACTTTTTCTGAAATTTTCAAATCCTCAGCACTGGATTTTTGACTCTCATTTTTCAATTTGTCACACTGTCAAAAGTTTCACTTCAAAAAACAAATCAGAATGAAAGCAAGTACTACAAACTGAAATCTTATCTTAACCACAAAAATAAACAAAGGTACCAGTTTTATTACAATAGGATCAAATGAACAAACTGTAAGTTTTTACTTCTTATTCAAAGATGGACAATTAACCTATTGAGTATTTATCAGACTGATTTGTTAAACAGCACTTATGTGATATATCCGTGTGCAATTTTATTTATATTAGTATCACAAAATGTAGAATTATTTATTAAGATACAACTGTCATTAAAAAAAAAACTATGACTGATATGCAACAATTAGGTGATACTATTCTAAAAAGCTACTGTATTTTAAATTATCCATCCATTTCAAAATATTTGACTATTTCAATCATGTGGTTTATTATTGTATGCATTTTTTCTGGAAAAAAAGAAGCATATGTACAAGACCTGCACAGTACTGTATCTGCACTTAAAATATACTGTTGAGGGAGTTAGGTCATGTTGACCCAGGTCAGTCCCTAATCAGTTACTTTGTGCCAGAAACAATAAAGATTATCATTTTTATATATTGTGTTATTATTTTTATTTGTGAAATTGTCGTAGTTGCTTTATTTCCTTTTTATGCACAAACACAGATGTGTCTGGACTTAAAATTTTTTGAGACCCTGAAGAAAGGAATCGAATATATTATTCGTATTGCTGGTAAATCTGTGACAGATGAAAACATGCCCCCCAAAAGAAAAGAGTTCAGAGATATAAAAAGAAGAGTAATCTGGAACGCTATTCCTGTGAACTCTTTGATATTACGCTGCATAAATTTCAGATATTGTACAAAACGATAAGATTGGTTATTTTTCATAAAATTCTGTAAAATTTTCAAATATCATTTAACAAAAAACTACTTTTATTTATGAAGTAATTTTTTTGCGTTCCACATTTTAGATACGGCCCTACTATGACGTCATAAGCAGACGAATTTGCGCGCAAACATGGATGGACGAAGGGAATCTACCGTCTTTTATTCATGTTGCAATTTTGCATGTATTTCTTAAAGAATAGAGTATCTGTGAATAATTAGGTTATTTTGCTAGCGACTGGATCGCACAAGGAACAGGATGATCAAGCTAATACGATTAGTGGTGGAAATATTTCACACCAGTTACTATTGTTTCTATTTGTTTTGGCCATTGCTCGAGGAGGTAAGTTTTCGTTTTATTTCGAATGTTTTAGAAATTCAGTTTATCAATAGCTTTTTTATTGGTAAATAAGCTTTAAAATAACAATTATCTGCCATTGAAGTTTGATTTTGGTGTGCCCTATCGCAGGAATTTTCAAAAAACTTAAGGTTTAAGATGTCAATCATCGTTTGTTTACCGTTGTCAAGGACGTGACTGCATAGACGTGCCACAGAAAATATTTAAACATAAATCCATACCCATACAAATTACATGAAATAAATCATTATTAGATAGTTGATTCACTGATTTATTTGGNTCATTTTTTTGTTAATTTTTAAATACTCCAGATGATGGAAGCCCTGGTGATGACCTCAAAAAACCATCTCTAACATCAACACAGCAGCTAACTGATGCCCAGCTACTTCAGCTAGAGATGGAGGCAACAGGAGAGATGAAGAAGAAACTCCCACACTATGTGCTTTACATCATTATTGTTCTTCTCCTGTGCTCTGTCTTCATCTCTCTGTTCTTCACTGAGATCTACATGATTGAGCTGACCACAGAGAGCTCATACCGCTGGGCCTGTCTTGTCGTGTTTGCTCTGCTGGAGGAGGTGTTCATCTTTGAACCCCTGAAAGTGGCCTCTGTTGTCATCTACAGAGCTCTGTTCCCAGCAGCAAATGATAGATAACTTGTGATACTCCCTTTGCTGAAGGGCAGAAACCGCTAAATCAACCTATCAGCGACTGTTATAGACGAATGTAGTTCAGTGAGAGAAAATGAGTGCTTTTTTCCATTTTTTTCCTGGCATTTCTTGTGTGTTGCTAGGGTTAATTTTGGTATCAACTAGCAGGCTAGGGTGTATACTACTGCCAGTTTTTTTTTCAGGACCAGGCTCAGGTGCGGTGCAGTCGTGAGACCTCTGGCGGAGGGGGCTATACTGACTGTGAGTGGTGCAGTGGTTTGTTTACAAACAGAGGGGTGCACGTGTTCAAGTGATGCCGGTAAGCAAGAAAGTCTGATGACAGTATATTTTTTTGCCATTGGGAGTTATGTCAGTGTGTCTACTGTCCATGGGGATGGGAAATGTTTCACAGAGTAATTTTGTTCATGCAGTATTGAAGGCATTTCTTAGTATGGTCGTCAATGGGAAATTATTTGGTGGTTTCTGCCCTGAATGTCTGAGGATGTAGTTGACTTTTACTGAAATTTTCAATCCTCAGCACTGGATTTTGACAACTCTCATTTTTCAATTTGTCACACTGTCAAAAGTTTCTCTTCAAAACAAAACCGAATGAAAGCAAGTAGTACAAACTGAAATCTTATCTTAACCACAAAAATAAACAAAGGTACCAGTTTTATTACAATAGGATCAAATGAACAAACTGTAAGTTGATACTTCTTATTCAAAGATGGACTATTAACCTACTGAGTATTTATCAGACTGATTTGTTAAACAGCACTTATGTGATATATCTTTGTGCAATTTTATTTATATTGGTATCACAAAATGCAGAATTATTTATTAAGATACAACTGTCATTCAAAAAAAAAAAAAAAACTATGACTGATATGCAACAATTAGGTGATACTATTCTAGAAAGCTTCTGTATTTTAAATTATCCGTCCATTTCAAAATATTTGACTATTTCAATCATGTGGTTTATTATTGTATGCATTTTTTCTGGAAAAAAAGAAGCATATGTACAAGACCTGCACAGTACTGTATCTGCACTTAAAATATACTGTTGAGGGAGTTAGGTCATGTTGACCCAGGTCAGTCCCTAAATCAGATACTTTGTGCCAGAAACAATAAAGATTATCATTTTTATATATTGTGTTATTATTTTATTTGTCGTAGTTGCTTTATTTCCTTTTTATGCACAAACACAGATGTGTCTGGACTTTAAAATTTTTGAGTCCCTGAAGAAAGGAATCGAATATCTGTGACGGATGAAAACTTGCCCCCCAAAAGAAAAAGAGTTCAGAGATATAAAAAGAAGAGTAATCTGGAACGCTATTCCTGTGAACTCTTTGATATTACGCTGCATAAATTTCAGATATTGTACAAAACGATAAGATTGGTTATTTTTCATAAAATTCTGTAAATTTTTCAAATATCATTTAACAAAAAACTACTTTTATTTATGAAGTAATTTTTTTGCATTCCACATTTTAGATACGGCCCTACTATGACGTCATAAGCAGACGAATTTGCGCGCAAACATGGATGGACGAGCGGAATCTACCGTCTTTAATTCATGTTGCAATTTTGCAAGTATTTCTTAAAGAATAGAGTATCTGTGAATAATTAGGTTATTTTGCTAGCGACTTGATCGCACAAGGAACAGGATGATCAAGCTAATACGATCAGCTGGTCATTTTGGTGGAAATATTTCACACCAGTTACTATTGTTTCTATTTGTTTTGGCCATTGCTCGAGGAGGTAAGTTTTCGTTTTATTTCGAATGTTTTAGAAATTCAGTTTATCAATAGCTTTTTTATTGGTAAATGTGCTTTAAAATAACAATTATCTGCCATTGAAGTTTGATTTTGGTGTGCCCTATCGCAGGAATTTTTAAAAAACTTAAGGTTTAAGATGTCAATCATCGTTTGTTTACCGTTGTCAATAATGTGCCGATCTGCAACTTAAACACACGATCGGGGAAGATATGCTTACCTCAAGGTTTTCTCTATGTGTGCAGTGTGACGCTGACGTCAAGAGGGGGGGCGCTCGCTGCGCATGGACCGATCCCACTTCCGGTTCCGGGGTCGGCGCCACTACACTGCCCCCTCTTCTAAATAAAGGTGTTCCTACATGTAGTCTTCGGCCTGCTGGACACTGAGCCCAGCATGCCATGGTGCGCCCTACCCTGGACACATGGCATGACCAGAGAGGGCCCTGGGCAAGCCCCCACTGAGTGGCACCACTTCTCAGCAGGGGTCACTGGCGAAACCCTACTGCCCCGTGGACTCGGGCGGGAGCCCGTCCACATACAGCCGCCTGGCGTTCCTGGCCGTGATGGCCAGCACCTCCTGCCAGGTGCAGCCCCAGATAGGTGCAATTATCGCACCCGTCCACCCCAGGTCTGCTGGAGTCCCATGCCTGTTGGGCTTGCATGGGAAATGCGGAGAGTCGGTCTCCAGCAAGACCCTACTCCGGTGCAGCTCCGCCACCGCCACTCTCCTTCCAGGGAGGGAGTCCGCGCGGGACCCTACCCCAAAATAAGTGTTAGGGTAGGCCTGAAGCCACCGCCGCAAGACCCCCATAGACCCCTGGAAGAGGTGCAAGTGTATCAGCTGGTCACGGCCCACTGGGATGCACTGCAGGTGCATCAGGAGGGAGAACAGGGCGTCATCCTCACCTCCTGGCAGACCTCTGCAGTGAAGAACTAGTATTTTGGCAGGGGTTAACAATTTTAACACCTTTTCTAGGCGGAGTCGTTGGCCGACCCACTCGCCTGGGGGGACAGTGTGATCGATCCCCACCTCTCCCACAGCAGACACATCTGGGGAGGAAAGGAGAGTCCCCAGACGACGAAATTGCTCACTGCTGGCCACCTTCTTGGGGTGGAGCCCCACTGCCAGCACTAACCCCATTTCTCTGAGTGCGGGCAACTCTTCGGGTTCCGGCCATGTGTCCGGATCACAGAACACGGCCGTCCCCCCCGTGAGGGTGAACGGATACATGGAATCCTTGTCCTTGCCCTGGACAACTTGTCGAAGGGACAGGCCCTTCAACCCCAACCGAAGTGAGGTCCGGTCAAGGTGAAAATGGGCATCAAAGCCCTCAGGGAGGCGGGGCAGATGGGCAGCCCGCTCTTCCTCCGAGAGGGGAAAAAGGTCTCGCCATTGGAGAAGCTGACTCTTCTCCAGGAGGGCAGCTACCCTCAATAGAAACCTCCAATGAAGGAGGGCTTGCGGGCCATTGTCGTGGGCCAGCACCTGGAAGGGCCCCTCAGATTGGCCGAACAGGGCACCAAACTCTTTCATGGCCAGTGCCAACTGAGAACTCACCTCCTCATTCCCTTCTGGAAACCCCAGGGCCTCACCATAACGCACCAACTGAGCCAGGGTGGCTCGGGCCCCCATCAGTGAGGAGATGAGGAATTTCAGGGCTCCTGTCCGCCTACTTACCACATCCCGACCGGAGAGACTGGCCAGGAAAATGTGCGGCAAATGGGCCTCAAATGCATGGGCCTCTGTTTCACGGCCCCCACAGTCAGGGACTGGACATCCGCGAAGGGAGGGAGCCCGCATACCTACCACAGTCATGGCGACGCGGCGGGGAGGTGGTGGTACTGCCACCCGCCGCTCTACTACTTTGTTAGTAGTACCTACCGTTACCTGAAGGTTGGGAGAGGGCATGGTCGCATCAGAAGGAGTCGCTGCCATGGCGGCAGTAGACTTACGCCTCGAGCGTCTACCACGTCTCGTTCGTCTGGTGGGCCTCTCACTAAGCTCCACCTGCTCTGCCCAACTTACTGAACCATACCTGGCCGCCTCAGGAGTCTCACTGAGAGCACTACGGGCCGTACTCCCTGTTGCTATCACTGGTGTTACACTGGGGTTTGCTAGCGCGGCTGGAATGCTAGCTTCCTCAGCCTCAATGTCCCCCTGGACCTCTCCCAGCAAAACCGCCTCCTGGGCCATGTCAATGTCGTTATCCATGTTATCTGGAAAGATAAAGGTACAGTGTTACTATCTTTTCAATCATCTCGACAGAGGTTTCTACTGGCCTCGATCTTTACAATCCGCACACTTGTATGTGAGGATGTCCAGGGCTTCTGTAGGTGTTATGTTGACACAGGAGCCATGGTACCACTCACCACAGTGATCACACTGGATCATAAAGCGCTGCTGCCACTGTTTTCTACAGAAACAGTACACCCTGTCATCACCCCTAGCTGACTGGGCTATGTCACTGGGGCTGTCTCTGATCTTCTGCAGCCAGCGGGGAAGAACTCGGTCACGACATGGTTTAAGGCGGTCGTGATTTGTAACAAACACTGAATTACGTACCTTTATGCGGAAAACCGCTCCAGAAAGCTTTCCAACAATAATCCCGGGGCCTCTCCATTGCGGAGAGAGCTTTTTACACTTGCCTTTTAATACAGCAGTGTCCAGGATGTACACAGGGTCCCCCACCTGATACGTGCGTTCCAGCAGACGCAGATCATGGTCCCTTTTCATGCGGTTAGAAGTGGCCTTCATGACCATCCGAGCTGTCTCATGTGCTCTCTGGAGAGTGAACTCCAATTCATTCACATATGCCTCAGGCGATTGTGGTTGGCTTGCCTTCAGAGGGAACATTAGACTTGCAGGAGTGTTAACCTCCCTACCCAGCATCATCAGGTTGGCAGAGAACCCAGTCATACGATTCACAGATGATCGCAGGGCACCAGCGATCTGTTGCAGATGTACGTCCCACTGCTTCTGGGATTTGCCAACAAAACACCGTACAGCATCCATGAGGGTGCGGTTGTAGCGCTCTACCTGCCCATTCGCTGACGGTCTGTACGGGGTAGTCCTGGTCTTGTGAATTTCAAGGACTTTGCACAGTTCAGTGAACAGCTTAGACTCGAAGTTTCTCCCCTGGTCTGTGAGGATCTCCATGGGAGTCCCAAACCGAGAGAAGAAATGGTTCACTGCTGCTTGTGCAGTTTCTTGTGCTGATTGTGATGGGACGGGAATGCACTCCACCCATTTTGTGAACTGATCCACAATCATCAACACATATTCATTCCCCCGAGCTGTCTTTGGCAGGGGGCCCAGGAAGTCCAGGTGGACCCGCTCCATGGGGGCTCCTGCCTGAAATTCAGTCAGAGCACATTTGCCTTGTCGTGTTGTCTTTTTGTTCTGGTTACACAGAGGACAACCTACCACATACCTGGACACATCACGACTGAGGCCATACCAGAAGAATTTCTCTTTAACTCGTTCCGTGGTACGGGCCACCCCTTGGTGCCCAGCAGAGGGCAAGTCATGGTGTAAGGCTATCGCTTGCTCCGTCATGCTCTTTGGAAGCACCAAGAATTTATCTTCTGAATTAGGGTCTGTGCGGTACAGTACCCCATCTATTTGGACCAATAATTCCTTATTCAGCCAGTAGTGCTTAGCAGCGGGGCTAGCTCTAAACAAGGCTGAGGAATCTGGTACAGACCCATCCTTTAACCATTGCAGCACAAAGGTGAGATCTGTGTCTTTGGACTGGGCCGTCTTTAAATCCTCAACGCTGTACCCCCAACTCATACGGAGTTGTCCATTTTCAGCAGATGAGGGTATTGGACCCGACCCATCCTGATTACCACTACAACTAGAGCACCGGGTGCCTACCATGTTAACACTAGGAGTATCCTCGTTAGTTTCATAACCCCAGGGAATGATATCCAATGCATCAATCAATTTCCCCACACACTCTGAACCATCTACAGGTAGCACCTCACCAAAAAGCTGGGCCTCATCCACATAGGTGGATAACTCCTCACTTCCTTCCTCTTCCCCATGGACGTTACCTAGAGGTCCCTGACAGACCTCTCTAACAGCCCTGACCTTCCCGTCGTGATCAGTGACAGGAACCACTGACTGTGAACTCATGTTCCCCAAGGGAACAACCTCGTCCACCTCCTGGAAGAATGAGTGCCAATTCTCGTGGGCCTTGGTGCAGTACTTGCACCCTCCACATGGCAACTCTTCTGGCCTTACACCAGCATGGAGACCAGAGCATGCCTGTCCCCCAGGGGGAGTTATCGACAATGCAGTGTCCCCATCTGTGTCCCCAGACGTAACCACTGGCAACTCTTCCAGTCGTGCTCCTGCTCTGTCAGCTGAGCATGTCTGCTCCCCGCAGGGCATTCTCGACAATGCGTCAGCATTACAGTGCTCACGACCCGCACGGTACTGCAGTACCATATTGTACTGAGATAGCTCCTCCAGCCATCTCGCCAGTTGCCCCTGTGGTTCACGGAAGTGCAACAACCACCTCAGACTGGAATGATCTGATCTTACTATAAAAGGTTTGCCCAGCAAATAATGGCGGAATTGTCTGGTGAATCTGACTACCGCCAGGAGCTCCCTGCGTGTCACGCAGTATCTTTTCTGCTCCTTCGTGAGGGCGTAACTTCCATAAGCTACCACTCGCTCTTTGCCACCCTGTACCTGGATCAACTCTGCCCCAATAGCGTGATCCGAGGCATCAGTATCCAGGATGAACTGATCTTCCAGGTTAGGCAACGCCAGCACTTGGGACTCCGTCAGAGCTTTCTTAAGTGACTCAAAAGCTGTCGACTGCTCGGTGCCCCAGGCGAACTTATTCTTTGCGGTCACCGCATACAGGGGTGCTGCTAACTCAGAAAAATTCTTTATGAACCCTCTGTGATAGTTAGCCAGACCCATAAACCTCTCCACCTGCTTGGCACACGTGGGAGTTGGCCAATCACGCACGACCACAATATCACTCTCAGACACGGACAAGCTGTCCGAGCTCACTCGTCTGCCGAGGAACTCTACTTCCTTCTGGAAGAAGACACACTTCTTTGGTTTCAGTTTCAGCCGGTAATGGCGAAACCGGGCCAGAGCGTCCCTGAGATTGGACATGTGATCCTCAAAACTCTTCCCCAGCACGAGGATGTCGTCTAGGAAGGCGAGAACTGTTTTCCAGTTCAACCCCCGGAGAACCAAATTAATTGCTCTAGCGAACGTCGCGGGAGCACCGCATAGGCCGAAACCCATACGCACATGTTCAAAAAGACCATATCGCGTTATGAACGCAGTCTTTTTGCGATCCTCCTCACGGATCTTTAACTGAAAATAGGCGGAATTGGCATCTAACTTTGAAAACCAGACACTACCTGCCAGCGTGTCTAGGCAGTCATCGACCAGAGGTAGGGGGTATACATCTTTAACAGTCACCTCATTGAGCGCTCTGTAGTCAATGCAATAACGCACTGAACCGTCGCGTTTTCTAATCAGCACGGGTGCCGATGCCCAGTCAGAGGTCGACTCTTGTATTACCCCCGCCTTTAGCATCTTTTTCAGATGCCCCTCTTCCTCCTCGGCAAAACACGCAGGCGTCCTGCGCATTCGCTGTTTGACTGGCCGAGCGTCCCCCGTGTCAATGCGGTGCTCAATCTCGGTAAAATTACCCAAGTCAAACTCGTCTTTTGCAAAGACGTCTTGGAAGTCGACTAGAATTTGAGCCAACTGTTGGCACTGTGGCTCACTTAAATGCGTACAGGAGCTCTCATACAGCGACTGGAGGTGCTCTGGAATCACCAGGCACTCATCACGGTCACTGGAGACCTCTACTTGGCAAGCAGCGGCACTGACTTCCTTGCACTCCTCAGCGTCCTCCATAACGCTATCAACTGTGACCGCCCTCCCTATTTCACACCCCTTACGAAGGAGGCGAAACTTGTCCGAAGGGTTGATCACGCAGACAACGGGGTCGGAGAATTCACTACGGAGAACGCTCGGCACAAGGAATTTATCCTGTGCCAGAGGCTCAATCACGTAATCTCTCATCTCCTTGTCCATAGTGCAAGAGATCTTTACCGCTGAATGGGGCGGAATGACGCGCCGCTGGGCGACCCTCACCCGAGCCACGTGGACCCCCTCATCAGAGTCCACGTCCAGCGTTATCCGCATCCCATCAAAATATAACATACCCTTACTCATGTCGAGCACAGCTTGACCTAGGTCACGCAGCATGTCGAATCCTAAGAGCATATCATGTTCTATGGGAGCGACGTACACATTTTCGCTATACCATTTATGGCCGATCCTTAGCTTAACGGGACCGGCGATGAATGCCGACATCGCCATTTCACGTCCGGCTGTTAGTAGATTTACGTCTCTGATCCGCCTCGGTTTTCTACTGAGAGCGCGGTACACGTTATCGGAAATTATGGTGACCTGAGCGGCTGTATCTACCACCGCTCGAACAGAGACATTACCGACCTGGACGGGCACCGCGTACTGCGACGCTGATCGTACCTGGCATACGATCACACTGCCCGGTTCATGCCCATTACCTAAGGTCTCAGCCAACTGCGGGCCCGGGAAGCGACCTCCTACTTCCCCGACCCGTTCTTGTTTAACGCCTTCTTCGGGCAGTTGTTTCTAAAATGGCCCACCTCGCCGCAGTTATAACAGGCCATCGTCCTGTTTCTGGCCGGATACCGACGGCCGTTGCCCGACTGGAGAGACTTCGTTAGTCGCTCCTCCAACTCTTTCAGAGCTTTAGTAAAATCCAGCGATGTCGGGGCGCTAGCGCTCGGCGCTGCAGCAGCACATACTCGAGGCTCCTGTTCATCATTTCTGACGAGGAGGCGCTTTTTATCCCTCTTTTCTCCGAAAGCCGCGTGCACTTGCTGAAATTTGCGCACTAATCGTATTGCGTCTTGAATAGACGCCGGCTCCCGGAGGCACACCTCTTGACCTGCTTCTCTATCCCAGAGGCCCTGGCAAAATTTATACACGTTTTGCCGGGAGACGAACTCATCCGGCAACCGAGTAAACGCCTTGCAGCCCAGGGTCATGACCCTGTCCGCCCACTCCTCTAGGGACTCCCCGGCTAACTGCGACGCCTGCTGAAATCGCGTCTGGGCCGACACCGGGGTATCTACATCCCCGAACCGCTCCTTCATTCTCCGAAGCAGGGCCAGGTACGACACCACACCCTGAGTGTGAATCAGTCGAAAAAAGTCAAGGGCTTTGCCATTGAGGCACCATATCAGCCCGTCCAAACGCTCCTCCTCAGTCCAGTCATGAGACTGGACGAAACGCGTAAACTTGAGTTCGAACGATTCCCAGTTCGAACTCCCATCATAGTTAAGCGACTTAGGCAGTGACCGTAGGGGGTCACGCGCCCTGCCCGTCCTAGGTGTTACCACCGGACTGACTGGACCCCTGGGGCCTTCCGAGCTACCTATCTCCGACGACGCCGTTGATACGCTATCGGGAGGGCTAAAAATCGGCTGCGATATGTTTCGCCCCTGTTCCGGCCGTCCCACAGTAAACGCCGCCGGGGTCAGCAACAACGGCTTCGGGGCCGGTGCACCTCCGGCAGACACCACCGGGGGCGCCAAAGACGTAGCAACTACGGGTTTAGCTGCGTCGACATTGGGTTTTAATAGGGACGCCCAGTCGCTACTGCTCCGCGGTGGGGAGACTTCTGTTTTTATGGCAGACGCGGGGCCTGCATCGTCGCACTCCGGGTCCTGAAAACTAGAGTTAGGAGCGAAATCAATCCCCTCCAGCTCGATTTCTGTGAAAGTGCGACGGCACAGAGTTTCCAAAACGGAGCGCGTGATGTTCCCCGCATTCTCTCTTACTGACACCAGGGCCCTCGCCAGCCTCGCCCCAACTCCGGGAATCGCTGCGAGCTCCTCCTCGCTGGCGAAATTAACCTGCACCGCCGGCACGGCATGCAGGGAGAACGTCGGGCCAACTACGCGCGTCTCACCTAACTTACTCCTATCCCCTTGATCCCACATGATTTCAAAAAGAAAAAAATAATAACCACACACACAGATAAAAAGTATTGTACAACACTTTATTATGATGAATAACTCATAAAAGACACCCACACAGATAAAAATATTGTATTTTATTAAAAAGTGCGGAAATAAAACCAGCTGGAAAAGAAAATAAACAATGCAGACGTACAAAACACCAAAATAATACACAAAAAGACAGGAAGAAATTTAATTAATTTAATTATAGAGAGAAAGATAAAAGTTGGGATCGATACGTGCGTTAGTGTGTACTTTAGCAGACGAATTTCGAGCTCCGCTAAAAACGCTATTATTATGGCAATAACTGCGTGCGAGCTCAAGAAATTACACCAAAAGTTGCCTTAGGTTGTTACCAGCACCGCTGCCACCAATAATGTGCCGATCTGCAACTTAAACACACGATCGGGGAAGATATGCTTACCTCAAGGTTTTCTCTATGTGTGCAGTGTGACGCTGACGTCAAGAGGGGGGGCGCTCGCTGCGCATGGACCGATCCCACTTCCGGTTCCGGGGTCGGCGCCACTACACTTATATCATGTATGGAAGGCAAATGCAACTTGTTAGTTGATGTCATTTTTTGTGCTTAATTTTTATCGGACATGTGGAAAATGTAGCAACGTACCCTGAATATCTGTCTCCTCCATCTTCTACAGACCTCTCTCTGAACACCTCTCACCTGAATTACATAATAATGTACATATACCCTGTGGGCGCAGACAGCTCGTCTGTTGGCGGTTATTTAGGAAATTATTAGTTTTGGCCTCGTTTTCAAAAAGGGGGCTACAGCTCCAAGAGAAAATGGCGGGAGAGAAAGGCACAGAGACCAGTAAGATGTAGAGGTGTTTATACAATTGCCTTTCGAGTTTTATACTAATAAACTTAACGAGACGATACAGTATTTAATTCTGTAACATTTTATACACCATAGGAATATCCTTGTATCAATTTCACTGAATATTCTCCTAAGATACTGGCGAGTAGCAAAATGGCCGCACACACAACGTAATTGTAAACATAGACTTTTGAATTGTACCAAAGGTAGCTTAATGGGTTTTTTCTTTATCTGTTCCTGTTTTATCATAATTTGGCATTCATTTTTGAACATGTAAGTTTTTTAAAATGTGCGATGGCCTGTAACTTGTAGATTTTTCAACATTTCCAACAAGCTTTATATTCACTGGTAATGATAATTTTGTCAATTGAGTGATGGTAGTAGCGTTCTGGTCTCATGTGTGGAATGAATGTCACAATGTAAGTTAAATATCCGTTACTTGGCTTCTTATGTAATTTCTTCATGTTTTATTGTGAGTAAGTTGAAGTGGTTTGCGGAATGACATTGTCACCCGCCCTGCATACGCATNGTAGTCTTGAGTTGATGCCTTATTTTTATATTGTTATCAAGATTGAAATCATCTTTAAAAATAGATATTGAACGATTTGTACAAAACGTTTAGGACATATATACCCATATATGATTCAAATAATTTAATATCTTTTTTTTTCCAGATGCAGGCACTAATGCCAAGATAGATGTACAGTTGTACAGTGAGACCAGCTCCTCATCAAGGTACCGACTCTCAGCCTATGACACTGAACAGCCAATACTGAAACGTGGGAATAAGGACATGTTTCTGGTCTACACACAAGGTATGTTTGGAAATAGGATTATTTTTATTATAGAAGATGGAATCTTCATTTTCAGTTGCCATTTGGAAATTTTTCCACAATAGAAACATTTTCTGACAATTTTTTCAATCTTTTCATTTTGACAACTTCAATAGCTTAGGCTTTTTTGCAGCTGTGATATCTACATATAACTGATAAAATGTATGCCAAAGGACTACTAGTAATGACAATATGCTATGAAACTGAAATGTCTATTGTTCTTACAGCTCCCCTTGGGAAAATGTCCCATGTGGTCATCACTCAGAGAGGAAAGGGAAAGAAAGCCAAATGGTGAGTTTTTATTTTCTTTATTTTTTTATTCATCTTTCCTCCTGAAATATCTATTACTCACTTAGACAGTATTAGTAAAGATAAAAGTAATGAATGACTTTTACCATTTTAAGTGTACGTATAGTGTGTTACTGATCTCCCTTCAGGCACCTGGACAAAATTAAGCTGTATGATCCCCTTGAGGAGCAGGAGTGGACCTTCCCATGTAATATCTGGCTTAAACCAGCACACAATGGAGGGGAGGAGACCCACTGTGTATGCTTCCAGAGTGAGCAGACACGCAGCAGGTCAGTCACAGCATGGGACTCTTAATAGAAAGTTACCTGCATTTCTTGTATATTCACTTTCATTGCTAAAACTTTGTAACAGTAATTGATGACATTCCTTTGAGACTTTGAGATGGATGATTTTTAAGGGGGCTTAAAGGAGAAGTCTTGCAAAACAGTTCATTTTAAAAACAGTGTGTCCATATAAATTAATTATTATGGGTACAGCAAGAAAACTGTGATTGTGTTTGTGAGAGATTAGAACAACTACTGCAATTGTTGCTAGACTCTAATGTATAGCAGTCACAATGTTTGTGTTAGACCATATTATTTCCGTGGATTTATTGTCAATTTGTGCTAGACAAATGCTAGAGGGTCTAGGCATTGCTTAAAGTAAATAGTAAATAAATATGAATAAAATAAAAAATTTATTAGGACTATAGCTGTTTGGCATGAAGAACCATATAACAATGTGAGCAAAGTTTGCTATGAGTGATTTTTAAAAATGTCACTCACATTTTGTTCACATTTCAGCTGGTTGTTCAACACCATCACTTCTAACCTGCTCCAGTTCCACCTGTGGGTCAATGGTGTGTTTGGAGGCCCACGTGAGCACCCCTGCACCCTGTCCCGTCCTCTCACAGTCCTGACCCTGTTCTCCCTATATGTCAACTACCTGCTGGGGAACATCCTGCTCACTGTGGCCTTCCCACAGCCTGCCATTGGGGAGAAACAGCTGGTGTCTGGGGACCTCTTCATCATTGCATTTGGCATCCACTTTGTCATCAAGCTGCTCAATTGCCTGGTGGAGTTCGCCCTATGTAACACGGTGACCAAACGCCTCTGCTGGATATATGATATCTTCAACATGGACCCCCTGGGATGGACTGACAAGCCTGACACTGGTGGAGGAGGAAGAATCAGCATGGCCCGCCAGGCCTGCAGGGATGCTCCCCCAGATGATGAGGAGGCCTTTATTCTCTCTGGAGATGCAGGCATCCCAGCCAGTGATGGTGTGGAGGATGACACCATGGTCTCCATAGGCCAGGATCAGTATCTGGTGGAGGCTGAGGTCCATCATGGAGCTTCTCTCAGTGAGGTACTGGACACTGCAGATATCCCTGTGGAACTGACTTACACAGCTTGTGGTGGGGAACAGAAGCTGGAGGAATTCAAACCCTCAGGTATTTACATCAATTGAACTGTTACTTATCAATAATTTTCTTATTGGTTGAATTTTTATAAGTTGTTGTCAGCATAATTGTCATGAAATGACCATATTTCCAAGTTTTAGAATAGGTCTCAAAGTCTGTCAGGTTTTTCCGAATCATTTCTGGTATAAGAACTAACTGATATTGAAAGAAACACCAGCATCATCTATCAAAAAATAAATCAACATCCTGTATTTCAGCCATTCCCAAAGTGGCCAGGGGCTCTGTGAGTGCCAAGGACTCTCAGTTCAACCTGAGTAACACCCTCCTTGGAGACAAGCCCCAGCCCTTGCTGTCAGCCTGGCAGCCCAGTGATATGCCCTTTGAGGAGATGGATGAAATGCCAACCAAGGCACTGTCTTCCCATGCCATCATTAGGTACGGTAATTACTCTCAAACTCTCCACACTTCATTTAATCAACATTATACTAATTAAATTGTATTGTAATTCTAGTTATAGTATATAAAAAATAGAGTAATTCTTTGCCATAATTTATAATTTTTCACATCTTCCAGCCCCATTCCCCCATCTGCTGGGCCAGGGAAGAGACAGAGGCGCCACACCATGGTGTTCAACAGGGAGGAGATGCCATTCAGCAGGCAGGCATCACTGGCCTCCAAGACTGAACTCATGAGGCAGAACCTTGCCAAGAAACGCCTCAGCCACATGGATGTAGAGACCTCCACTGCAATAGTTTGCCAAGATATCAGGCTGCAGAGGTATGTATTACATATTTCTAGTGATATCTGATGCTGTATTGAGTGATGATTTTAAGATTAGTTATACACATGTTGTTAACAATTGTTACAGGTTACGCCTATAGATGCAGTTTGTATATAAACATTATATTCAAATAAGAATTTTCAAAGGTATCAATTTGAAAAAGAAATGAAAATTGTGTATAAAATTTTGGTGAAATTTAATTAATTAAGGCTGGACCTCAGTTTTGTTATACCATCTCCAAAATTTGTCTGTAATTTATAACTCTGTATGAGTTGTCTGTTATCATCCCAGGTCACAATCTGATACCAGCATCTTGCAGACCAATGACAACATTAACAATAGCAATGGCACCAGTGGTGATCCTGAGACTGGCAACACCAACATGACAGCAAGGTAATACAGGGGACGGGAAAGGGGACTTATATGTTTATTCTTTTTTTTTATTCACTTTTTTTATGATTTATTAATATTTTATTATTATTTTGTTTTATTTTGATTTTTTCCATGCTGTATATTTATATATTATTGTGAAATCTTTCCTATTACAGAGATGACGCCAGTGCTATTTCTGCCCATGACAACGTTGTACAACAAGGCAGCATGGTAGATGGCGCCATCAACCAGGACAGCATGGCAAGTGTGTTTGAGTCTGCCTTTGATTTCTTGGATGCAGCTCCACAGAGGAGCAGCCAGCATGCTGTGCTTCAGCTGGAAGATGGTAAGTGCTGAATTCATAATTTAAATAGTTCAGTATATATTGTCGGTGTCTACATTGTAAGATTTGTCATTTGACTCATATTTTTTAGCAATATTTGGTGTTTGTTGATTTTCCTTTCGGTCTTATGTTTTCAGTCTTAAAAAATATTTAAAAAAAACTTCAACAATTTATCTTTATAAAATGTGCCTTAATGTTAAAACAATAAAAGTGTTACTAATATTATTTTCTGTATTATTATAATGAAATTTGTTTCTTTTTTTTCTAGGTGTTTTTTATGGTTAGACTCGAGTAGATTTCAAACAACTTTAATTTATGCACATTGAAAAACTGAATATTTATATTAAATACTCCAGATGATGGAAGTCCTGGTGATGAACTCAAAAAGCCATCTGATGCCCAGCTACTTCAGCTAGAGATGGAGGCAACAGGGGAGATGAAGAAGAAACTCCCACACTATGTGCTTTACATCATTATTGTTCTTCTCCTGTGCTCTGTCTTCATCTCTCTGTTCTTCACTGAGATCTACATGATTGAGCTGACCACAGAGAGCTCATACCGCTGGGCCTGTCTTGTCGTGTTTGCTCTGCTGGAGGAGGTGTTCATCTTTGAACCCCTGAAAGTGGCCTCTGTTGTCATCTACAGAGCTGTGTTCCCAGCAGCAAATAATAGATAACTTGTGATACTCACTTTGCTGAATGTCTGAGGATGATGCTGACTTTTTATGAAATTTCAATCTTCAGCATTGGATATTTTTTGTCACACTGCCAATAGTTTATCTTCAAAACAAAATAGAATGAAAGCAAGTACTACAAACTGAACTTTTAGCTTAGCCAAAAAACCAACAGTCTACGTTATCACACTCATGAACATATTATTAGTACTGTTACTGAAATGAACAATTTATTAGGCTGATTATTAAAATTGCTTCAATTAAAAGGGTTAAATTTGAGATAATTTCATGCATGCATTATTAAGAGAAAAACTACTAACTTTATGTCACTATCACTCAATTTAAATTATTTCACTTATTTAGGAAAAAGTTAAATTTTTTAAAAGTTGACCGTTTTTCTTAAATTATGTGCACTAAGTAAGTGATACTGTTTTAGATTAACGGCACTCAAAGCTATTTCATTATTTAAAAATTTTTTATCATTTCAATCATGTGATTTAACATTGTGACACAATTGCCAGAAAAATTTAAACATTAGCTCTCACAGCCCTGTATATTAGTTTTTCCATCAACATCTTGCAATTATGTTTTTCATTTGTAACTCAGCCATTGCATTATAGTCAAATAAAGCTCATGTATATATTTTAACCATGTATTCAATTTTTGTAATTTTCTAAGTAAAACCATTAACCCGGCCATAGGTGTAAATCACTGAAGGGAAATTAAATGGTTCTTTTTTTTCTCAAAAATTAAAACACCCAATATTTAAATTTTCTTATTGTTTTATTATAAAAACTTGCAAAGTATTTCAAATAAGCTGTTAATTTTGTGATCTTTCCAACTGCTATTCATTAATATATCCTGCTAACTGGGGATGTCACTGTTTTTAGGGCCTAAAAACGATTAAAATGATAACTCCTTGCCATTTGCATTTTCTGTGCACATTGATTTCTGATCACTTCAGAGGTTGACAAATGACAAGAAAAGCTGGGGTTGTCAAAGTGAATATGCCTTTCAACAGCAGAACAGGCTTTACTCTGATCTAATATATATCACTATGGGTGGGTATCCACATGTACACCAAACACATCAACAACCCTGGTTCTCTTGTTAAACCCTGAAGTGATCAAAATGCACAGAAACTTACTGCAAGTGAACAGAAATTATCATTATAGTTTTAATTCATTTTTAGGTCCCAGAAAGTGACATTCCCTTAAAGGTACATACCAACTGAGCATCGGTGGAGTGTGGATTCCCAATAACACATGTAAACCACTTCTACTAGTTTCTTATTCGACTCAAATAAATTCAACATGCCAAGGGATAAACTGAATAGATCACTTGATCAGCCATAAAAGTGCTTGAGACTGCTCCTTTCTTTAAAATTTTGGTCGGAAATTTAACCTACTTTCGTGACCTACTTTTCTGCCCCATTGACATACAGCATAGAATGCTAGCAGAAAAATCTGTTCAAACATCACTTTGGGGTAAAATTAAACAATGCCTTTTGGTAATTCTCGTAGTTATACTACTTGAAACTATATGCTGGCATTTCGTCGGTTTTTGTGACAAAAAATTGACTTTGTATGCATCTTTAAAATATTATAAGTTGTGCTTCTCTTTTTAAACCCTGTAGTGATCATAATGCACAGAAACTTATTGCAAGTGAATAAAAATTATTGTAAGTTTTTTAATAAAAATTAAAATGTTATAAGTCTTTGGGTTTGATCTAAAAGCTCTACTTTTTTCTAAGAATATTACTTTAAGCATGATAATTTAATGGCACACAAGGACTATTAGTCAGGCTAAACAAGGATTAAAATGCTTGATTTCTGATGTCTATAGATTCTGCTCTGGTTGCATAGAGCTACACAGCCATGTTCTAATGGAATGCAATCATTGGACAAAACGGTTAAATCCAATTGTGCATTTTATATACAAACATTGTGCACAAATAAAAACCTACAAAATTCGGATGCTTTTAATTGCTAGCCCTTACTATAATAATATTACTATAATAATACTATATTGTAAGATAAGTACCCAGTTAATATACTTTAATTACAAATACTGCATTTAAAAAAGTGCATCTTCTCAAACATCCTTAATTTATGACAATATTTATGTCTGGGAGCTGGCAAGGACCATTATGAATATAAAGATATTGTAAGATACCTTATCCTTTGAAAACTCTCCTTTAAATTAAGTTGCAGCATTATGAAAATATACAGTATTGTTTTTTTTTTTTTTTTTTTTTTTAGTTTTAACTGAATACTGCTACATTAATAATGATATAGACACTAAACTTTTTTAAAAAATTACAAAAATATCACAATTATAGTTAAAAATCCTGATATGACACTTAATCATTTTGTCAAGTTCCTGTCATCTGACACCCTAAGGCCTTTTTCATGCATTTTATGCAAATAACAAAAACCTACACATACTCAATACATTTTTGCAGATAAGAGATGCATTTTTTTGTTGAAAAATAGAATTCTATACAACTGAACAAAATATTTATCATATAAAACATTAATATACATTAATCATGTATCACCAGACTCACATATGGAATTTTTTTCTTAACATATTATTATAAATGCATATTTTATGCATAGAAATTACACACAGACACATATAAACACGTACACCTAAGACAAACCCAGATCTTACTACTAACAGACAACAAACTGCATCATCCCCTCAACCATTGAGTACCGGTACATGGTTGAGCCACGAGCACCAGATAAAGAAAGCCAGTCCAACATTTCCAAAAATATACTTAAATAGGCCTTTATCATATTAAATTTTAAGTCATTATTTGGTCTTTTTATCTATATAAGTTCAACACATAGAGAGCATTCACATCCAGAAGAGCCGAGGTCTTGCAAGGCCGAGACCTAAAAATGGCGCACCGACATGAAAGGAAGGCCGTGCAGTCCTTTAACGGTCTCTCAATGACATTCAGTGCTCTCTTAAAGACAATCCATGGCACAACTGCTTTCAACACTAGTTCACTTTTTTGTCAAGCATTGATCTTGGTGTAATAATCATTTTTAATTATTAGTAAATAAAATGGTACAATGAAACGTCTACGTATTACATTTTTGAATAAAGTTCAATCATGATAAAGTCTTCATTCCCATCTCATTGCTTCCAATCTCCATACAGTGCTGTTTTATAGTCCCATTTTCAGACATGCCCAGGATTGGATTGAATGAGTTCTTTGTTACCTTTGAGATCCGCTTCAATGTCATGGTTTCCTTGAAAATTTTTCACTGAACCATGCAACCACTAAAATGAAAGCAATTTTATGTCCGAGTCAGTTTTCATATTGCAAACATAAGATCAGTAAGTCACAAAACAGACTGAAACAAATCCCTTAATTTGCTTACTAGGTTTGACACAGAAAAATTACCTCCTCAATCAAAATACGCTTCATGAAACAATTCAATACAAACTCATACATAGCTTTCATATGGCTTCCCCACCTCGTTTTTTCTTTTGACAATTTTTTCTCTTGCTGCTGTTGGCTACAAGCTGGTTCTGACTGTGAACGACTGATCCCAGATGCTGCTCCTTCATTTTCAGTCTTTTCATCACTTGACTTTGTTCCTGAAAGTCAGCATTTTCCTCTTATACAAAAAAATTCATAATTTGAATTGTAATCGTATTGATACATAGTTTTAGATTATAACACATATCATAATTTTTGAAAAAGTTCTCTTATCCTTTGAAAACTCTTCTTTAAAATGATATTTTTTACTTTAAAATGAATATTGAATTAATCAAATGGACACAAAAACTTTTTTTGCGTTTAATGCAATTTACATCAACCTAAACACACTATCTTATAAATACATAAATATAAATCAAATGCATTTATCCAATGAGCTAGTCTAAGCAGACTATATACATTTCTTCACACTGGAATTGTTTGTATTGTTTGTACAGGTCTGCCTACAATTTCATCGATTTCCAACCACCTTCAGGAAGTGCAGATATCCTTTCACAGCGGCAGATACAGGATTATTTGAGGAAGGATCCAATATTTTTTTTAGGAATGACAGGCCTTGACACCCCCTGAGACCCCCTGACACCCCCCCCCCCAAAAAAAAAAAAAAAAATCCACTACTACGTAACAGTGCTTTTAGGTAACTCTAACACAATAACTATTTAAGATGCCAGTGACTCAGACTACAGAACACTGCACCAATCATGACTCAGACCTCTGATGGGCATCAGTCTTACTATCAGCAGTTGAAGATCCTGCTTCGGCACTTACTCTGGCGTCTGTGGAATTTTTAAAATATCCACACTTTACACAGCATACATGGTTACTTTCAGCATATTAAGGGACACACATGTAACAGATTTTCATAGAAGTAGCCCTTTCCAGACTATATGCTACAGCTTATAATAATAATAATGACATGACAAAATGTATTCTCTAAACAATCATTACAATACACAATCAAAATTGTTATACAAACCCAAGATCAGCGATTCAACCTGTGTCGAGTCCTGGGGATTTTCAGTGGTTTCAGATGAAGACATTTTTGATAAGTTTTCTGTCAAACTAGACACAGCATCAGTGGCAGTCTCACTTACAGCAGCAATTTCTTGGCTTCTCACTCCACTTTGAACTAGAAAATATATTTGCCATCAGATGAAGCTCTGTCTTTGGGACCATTTCCATAACCCCATCCTACAAGCAGGAATGATCTATCTCCGAGGGGTTTCTTGCTAAATAGCATCCAGTTTTAGTGTGCACAAAAGTTAAATACCGGTACCCCCCTAGCAGCTTCATTTGGTGTGCCAGACATTTAAGCTGCTCAAAATGAATGCAATTTGGTGAGAATCTTCTCGGATCCTGCTAGTACAATAGGTTAAGGAGAACCAAGTCATTCCTTTTGAGCCCTCAGATATTTTAGTAAATCATTTTTTATGAGACAGTTCTAATAGAAATATATATATCATAGATATATATATGATTGTATTTACATATATACAAGTAGATAAAAATGGTATTTGCTGTGAAATATTCCATCTCTGCAGTACAATTTTGAATGTTTCACAATTGATTAAAAAGAGAGCACATTGGACATCATTTGAAGCTTAAAGTCCTGTATACTTATAGTCCTAAAATGCCCTATTTTTTCTGTTACCTGACTCCCCGGCATCTGGCTCACTGGACCCTGGAGAAGATACTGCAGACCCAGTCAACGCTGCTGATGCCTCTAGACATGGCAATTTATGAAATTATACAAAAGTATTTAACATGTACATGCAAGTCATACTACTCAGCTGTCTCTTTATCTTTTCTGAGACATTGATGGTCTTCCAACAGAAGAAAAAATAGATACCAGGCAATATAAACTTAATAACCTGACTGTCTTCCGGAAGTCCCAGAAGATGGTCTCAATCTACCCTTTCAATAAGATTACAGTTTCAGGACCATGAGAGTTCAAATTCACATGATGTAAGTCTCAATATTTGAAAAATGATGACAGTGCATAAAATAATATTACATAAGTAACATAATGTTTAAAGACATAAAAAACAATACAACTGCTTATGTGGAAAAACAGAAATGTCAGAGTCTCAGGCGGATGAGAGTT